CACATACCAGAATCCAGCAAGCAAGGCCGGAGCTGCAATTTGGGGAAGAGCCGGCGGCATGGAAGGAAAATTCTGCAGGGGACTCACGGTTTAACCCAAAATTAAAGGAGCCCAACTTAAATCAAAGCTAAAGAAGGGAGAATTCGAGCTATTTCTTACCAAAAAACCGAGCAATTCACCCCCACAAAGCAGGAGCAGCCAGCGGACAGGGTAGGAAGGAAAGAGCAGATCCGGATTTCCAGCAGGGGGAGAATTTCAAGGCTCAAATCTGGTTTTAGAACAAGAAAAGAAGGAGAAATCCAAGCTTTCTCACCGGTTTCTCAAAGCATGGTTGGGTTCCCCTTTTTTTTCTTTCGAGTGGCTGCAGCGGGAAGAAAGGAGAAGAAGAGCAGAATCGGGCAAGGCTGGGAAGAAAAAAAAGAAAGAAAAAGAAAAAGGAAAGAAGCCATCCTTATCCAATTATTTTCCCTCTTTTAAGTCCCTCAAGTTTGGAAATGTTGGCTACTAAGGCCAAAACAATATTTTCTCACAATCAAATCCCTAACTTAAATGATAAAATTCCCGAAAATTTGGGATATTACACTCTTTTTATCACCAAACTTCACTTTTAATCTCCTTAGGTTTGTGAATTTTAACTATTAAGTCCAAAAATAATAATTTCTACCACAAAAGTCCTTAACTTAAATTCTAAAATTTCAGAAAATTTTGGGATATTACAACATTAGTAGAGAGAAGGTAGTTAACAATGGTTTTATTGGTGTTTATCCAACCTATATAACACCCTTTTAAATTTATTAGATTTAGATGAAGAGAAAGAGATTAAGATGATTATAACTTTTGTTTATCAAGTTAACAAGAAGAGTAAATAGATTTGTGTAGTTTTAAAAAAGTTAAAACTTTTTAGATTAATTTTGCAGTTGTACACAAATTTAATTAACTCTTTAAAAAATAACTGGTGTGCATTATTGTTCCTTAGTTTGCTATATTTTTCATTGTGATCTTTGGTGTTTAAATATAGTTGGTGTAATTCTCATCTCTTGATTTATTTTTTTATGTTCTTATTTTATTATATGTTATTATTTTGATTTTTGCAATCTTATGTAGGTTATACACAAGCTTATTATGTGAAGGCAGAGAAGAGGAAAATTAAATTTGGTGGTCATTTAGTAAGCCCGAGGAATTGTGCAAAGAAGAAATTTTGTTACTTCTTTGTACTAGATGTCAACTATTCTAAATATCAAAATCTTGAACATCAACTAAGATTAAGATAGTGAATGATATGCTTGTGATTATCTAGACTATTTATTTGAACCATCCATATATCCTTTTTTTTTTTTTATTTAAAAATTTTAGTTGGGTTACCACTTTTTGAAATTGTTTTAAGTAAAAATTATTTACTTTATTGGGCATCTATAATGATAACTAGTATTGTCACTTGATTATAAATTAATTTCTTAATATTAAATTAAAAAAAATCAAGAATACAAGTTTTGTTACATAAATTATTAAAACTGCATTCTTTACTTGATTATTTATTGACTTTATTGATGTTAAATATCACTAAATAATATTGAAACCACCCCATTGAGAAAAAAGAAGAAGAAGAAGAAGAAGAAGAAAAATGCTGGAATTTTAAGTCTATCTTATTTTTTACTTGAAGAGTATTAATTATTTAGATCTTAAAAGTATTGATTTTATATAGGTTTTTTTTAAAAGAGTTTAGTAATATCAGTTTTATAATTAATTAAATGTTTATTTTAGTAGGAGAAAAAAGGAAAAAAATTTAAAATTATATTAATTTAATAAAGTATAACAATAAAAACTTAAAATAATCTCGCACCCGGCCCTTCGAGTCAAGTGGCACTCTGCTACCATGAGGTGCATTTCCCTTTCCCCTTTGGGTGGGTTCAAGCCCCCCTTGGCAAATTGTTCAAAAAAAAAATTTTTAAATAGTCTCATTCATGTTTTAAAAACTTAAATATTTTAGTATTTTTTTTAATATAAATTTATTAAAATGATATAATTTTAAAATATTTTTTACCTAATTTTTTGTAAGTATGACTAATAAACGTTTTTCCCTTTTATTAGATTATAAATTTTCAATTTTCTGTTTAAATTTCTCTTAAACACCGCAACTAAAATATTGCTTTCCACAATACTCACAAAAATTTTTAAAAATCAATTTCTACTATAATTTTGATTAAAATTAATTAAATTATTATTAATTTATATACCATCCTAACAAACATATTTCTATTAATAATGTTTACATTACCAATTTAAAAACAACTTTCAAGTATCTTTTTTAATCAAATGGATAAGCAATTTAATATTATGAATTTTAGTAACAATAAACTATAAACTACCAACTTCATTTAAATTATTAATACAAACATCCTCATACACTATTGCATATAAACAAATAAAAACATAATTCCCGATTATTGACTAGGTTGCATGAATACTATAAATATTAATTAAAAGTGAAAAATTGAAAAACAAAATTTTGCCTTAAAATCTTATCTCAAAATTAATTTTACCTCTACTTAGATCTTTAGTTCAAATGAGATCTTAGAGGCAAATCATATATAGACAATTGTGCTAATAATGTGTTGTAAAAATGAAGAAAAATAAGTAAAAGAAAAGTACGAATTAGAGAATACAAAGGCAGAAAAGAGATCATAAAGAGTTTGATTCTTCTTCTTTCTTCCATCTCATTTCTATATGAGTTACAAGCTTTATGTATAGGCGAGAACAATGGTAGGAGTTGTAAGAATAAATCATCCACTAAATGGAATTGACCACCATGTAAATAATTGAGAAAGTGGGTGTTAAATACCATTATGTGAAATGTGCAAATGCATAACATTAGTGAGATGCCAATCACTAATATACACATACATAAGAAAGTGGGAGTTAGATGGTAAAACTTAATTACTATTATTATTGTATGAAAGAAGTGCTTCGTTAGGAAGAAAAGGAATGGATGGTGAACCATCCACCAAAATAAATTTAGTTTGTAACAATAATGATAAAATCTTTTAGATTGTGCTTAGGAATCCATATTTGTACTTAAGTATGTATTTTAAATACATATATTTAAAATTAAAATCCATTGTTAAGGGATGAATTTGAAATACATAAATTTTAATCTTTAAAATGCTTGCACTACAATACATATATTTCACTCAAATTCAATTACAATTTATTTAAGTATAACTAAATGGCGATATTGAAATTTGAAAGCCCAAATTTAAATAAACTTTTTGAAATTCACATTTCTAAAAAGACCCTTGGTAATTTCATTATAATATGCAGCAAAATGTTGTAATGAGGACAAATTTGTTTTAAAAATTGCCGTAACATACTCTTTACTTCCATTTTTCCTTTTGTCCATTTATCTCAAGCCTAACAAACTAAACAATTAGAGGATATTTGATAAAACTTAAAAACATTTACTTTAAAAAGTAAATTCATCTTTTATAATTTTAAAATTTTGTTAGAGAAAAATTTTTAAAATATTAAAATTTAAAATATGTTTTTAAACAAATTTTAAGAAAATTTAAATATGTAATTTTTTAAAACTTATTTAAAAATCACTTTTAAAACTCAATTTTTAAATTTTATCTAAGAAAATTTTAAGTTTATTAAGAAAAAATTTATTTAAGTGTTAAGAAAGTGGCTCTAAACTTTGCCAAACATCCCATTAATCCTCTTTTTCTGCCTAACTTAACGGGCTTAATTCAATAATTACTCTATTTACTGTCAATTTAATTTCATTTTAATCTATAAAGTTTGTTTTCTTTCTAAATGGTATGTAAATTTTAGAGAATATTTTAAAATAGTTTTCTGTACAAAACTTCTATTAGTTTTAATAGAAAAAATAAGTTACGGTCAAAATAGAGCAATCCTTTTAATTTTGGAAAAGTAACACTATAATCCAAATAAAATATGATGACTCATGAAATATTTTATAGAAATAAATTAGTTAAAATTTCTAATGAACTTGAGTAACTAGCTTAATTCGAAGAAAGAAACTTAGCAAACTTAGAATGAGAAGCTTCAGAAGTATGTCTTAAAGATACAATAAAAGTAATGAGCAAATAAATCAAATTAACATGTATTTACTCAATACATTGGGTAAAAACATAATCGGTATAGAAAATATAATTATTATTAATATGATTCTAGAAATAGAAACCATTAATAAAAATACCTCAAGAAGAATTAGAGAAATGGAAAATTCCGTTTTCCAAAAATTTGATTCTATTAAAGAACAAATAAATGATGTTAAAAATTCTAGAGATTTGAAAAAAATAAGAGAAGAAATAAGGTCTATTAAAGATTTCAAGACTCTGATATCTCGAGTTAGAGATATAGAGATCAAAATAAAAGAAATTTTTAAGATATTTAAAATAGTCACTAAAAAATTTACCATAAAAGTTTAAGATGTATAATAGAATAATCCTACAATTGGAAAGTGAGAAAGATAAGAATTTCTATATAATCCAAACTCAAATTAAGGATCTATAAGATACAATAATATCAGTTTGTAGTAGATGAAATATTATAAATAGAAATGAAGAATTTAAAATAATCCCAATATTTTCAAAAGAAAATCTAAATTGAAGGGGAAAACACTTTTTATGTTAAAATCTCAAGAAGAAAAATTGAAAGAATTAGAACAAAAATTCTTAGAAGAGGAAGATGTAGAAGAATTAGATAATTTGTGCAAATAGATTAGATAACTATTGAACAAATGGAAAATATAAAGATGAATACTTAGAGAAGGAAATGAGGAAATTGAAGAAGAAGCTGAAGAAGAAAAATATGAGAGACAACCTAATATAACTCCAATAGAATTCTTAGTACAACAAGGGGTAGAATCTAGCATTAGTCAAAATTATAGAAGGAATATAAATAAGATACATGAAATATTATAGAAAGAAATTTGAAAATCAATCTAGACTTGAAACCCTAGTTGAGTCAAAGAACAAATTATTAATACCAACAGCATTTAGCTAGATCTAGACTATGTTATCAATCCAAAGAAAGTCATTAGTGATTGGGCTCAAGCCACTTGGATAACCATAACAAACAAAAACTGGAATGTTTTACAAGCAGTTAGATTTATTGAAGTTACCTTTAAAGGAATAGTTCATGATTGATTTGCCAATCTAAATGAAGAAGAAAGTAATGTTGTCATACGTGGAAATCCTGTGTCATAAGAGGTAAATGAAAATAAGGCAATTCAAGATATAATAGCTAAGTTTGAATTAGCTATAAGAAAAGAATTTTTTGGAGAAAATTGGGAAGAAAATCAAGAAAAGGAAGATGCTAGAATTGGAAGAATAGCAGTATGGAATTTGCAGACTTTAGAATTATGAATT